TTATCCATCAACTCATCAACTCTTGGTAAAGGATAGCAATTCTTGATAATAATTTTATTCAAAGCTTTATAGTCAACACATAATCTTAATGTACCTTCTTTCTTATATACAAAAAGAATGGGTACTCCAAAGGGTGAGACACTTGGACAAATAAAACCTTTTTATATTAGATCAGCTAATTGTTTCTTGAGCTCATCCATTTCTGTGAAAGAAAGTCTGTAGATAGATCTGGATGGTGATTCAGATCCTGGGATGAGATTAATTTTATAATTAATTGCTCTTTTAGGTGATAGTTGATTTGGTAAGATTTTAGAAAATACATCTTGAAATTTTCTTTTGATGTCTAATACTTCTGATGAGAGTGATTTCTCTTTTGCTTCTTCTTTATCTTTAGTATTGTTGAGTTATATGATGAAAAGTTCTGCGTCTGCTAGTAGGTTGGCAATTTGTTATCTTGATATATAAATTGAATTGCAGTTGAAGCCTAACTTAATTTTATTATCAGCTTGTACTTTTATTATCTTTGATCTATAGATAAAGTTTATAATATTATTTCTCTAGTTTATAGTTGAATTGGCATAAAATAACCAAGATTTACCTAGGATAAGATCATATCTTTGCAATTTCAATACCTATGCATCTATCTTATGCATTCTATAAATATATAGTTTTAATTTATCAATCTTTGTCATGATGGTGGCAGTAATTTTCTTGCCATCTGCGAGTTCAACTGTGATTAGTGTAATCTTCTGCAATTTGACTTTGTCTTTTGTATAAACTTTTTATCAATAAAGTTTCTAGATACGTCACTATCTAGCAATACTCATACTAGTTTGCCATTTACTTGGCCATTAAATTTTAGTAATCTTTCTCTGTTATCTTTAAGATGAGCGAACTCAACTCTCTCATAAGAAGATTCTTCCTGTTTGTCTTCAATATTTGCAATCTTTGCCTTTGGTTTAGAATAATAATTTTTGATAAAGTGGTCTGGTTTGCCACAATTGTAACATGTACCTTTGGGTTTGTTATTCTTCTGATTATTGTTATTTTTTCTATTATTATACTAACTTTCTGCCTGATCTAACTCCATTAGTATAGGATCATTATTCTGGTGACTTCTGTACTGGTTTTGAGAGTGATGACTATTACTGTTTCTACTTGGTAGGCCTAGTGGTCTGCCTTGGCCATACATAGCTGTATTATAGCGAATGACTAACTTCCAAGTGTCTTCTAATGTTTCTGGTACCTGGTAACTAATCTTCATCTTTGTAGCTGGTTTTAGATCTTCTATAAAATATGTGACTTGGTCTAAGGTGCTCATGTCTGTAATTTGACCAATTATATTTCTGAATTTTGTGTCATAGTCTTGAACAGATCCAGTTTGGTGAAGAAGATGAAGTTATCTATAAAGATGTTATTGATAGTGTGATGGTTGGAAGGCTTCTCTAAGTGCTGTAACAAAAGCTTGTCAGTTTTCAAAAGGTTTAACACTATTATCTACTTTTATCTTGTTGAGATACTAATGTAAAGCTGCATCAGTCAAAGAGATGGTGACATATTGTATCTGTATCTTTTTATCAGTAATTCTTTGAGTCTGGAATATTGTTTTAACCTGTATAATCCAGATGAGTATATTTTTATTTGGTTCTCCAGAGTAAGTAAGTAATTTTATTGAGAGGCGAGATAAAGGTTTAAAATCAGAAGAACCATTTTCTTTTACTGTCTTGATAAGTTCAGTCATATTCTGCATAAATTAGGCAAATTGTTCTGTATTTATTTTGATATTATTATTTTATAAACTAAAAATATGTGTGTATATAATATAGTGTGTGATGTAGTATGTATAAAATATTAGAGGGTGGTATTTATAATAATCATATCTACTGCTACCAAGTTGTAAGATTATTTTGTCAATATTTGTAAACAAGATAAAATGCGATATGAATAAGTTTTAATTTTATAACTTATGATTGCTTTTATTATTTAAAAGTATTTAGATCTGAGAGAAAATTACAGAACAGAGAGATTTTATTTATAATGAAAGAAATAAATACAAAAAGTGAATAAATTAATAATAAGATCTATTTTAAAATATATATGGTTGAACAGAATTAATTAACTTAATTCATATTTCCAGAGAGTAATTAATCATAATTCAATAAGTAATGATAATTATAAATAATAATAATAATAATATAAATAAATAACAAGAAGAATAAATGAAAATATAAAGAAATAATTAATTAAAAACATGAATAATCTAAATTAATAATTGTGATACACATAGTGATCATCTGAGTAACAATGTGCTAAATCTAGATGTATTAATACATAATGATCATCTGTGTATCCAGAGTGAAAATGATCTTCTTAAAAATGTAATACAAAGCTAATCTGTTATACAGATAGTGCAAAATAAAGATCTAAACTAAAAGAGATCTAAAAGAAGATAACCCAATTAAAATTGTTATAAAGAGATTCTCTCTCAACAACTCTTTAGGATGATTACTTTTTTAATCTTTAAATTACTCACTTGTAATAATATAGAACAAGAAACACATATTTTTCTTTTGAACTTACTCATGTAATCTGAATTCACTAAAGATATTAAAATTAATAATATTTTTCTCTTGAAATCTCAGATAATTATTAAATTAATTGAAGTACTTTCTGAATTAGTTAATAAAACTATTAACTTAGATTTTGACTGATTAAATATCTTTATCATTACTTTATTAAAAGATGAATTTAAAGTTAATATTAGTAAAGAAAATACTAAAAAAGAAGAATTAGAGTTTGTAAATTCTGATAGTTCAATTACTTTTAAAGAAAAATCTGAATCACCTATATCTATATCTAAAGAAGTTAAATTTACTTATAAGAAAGACTGGCTAATAAAATTCAAAGAAGTAGTATTTTTACTTTATAATAATTTATTTATATAATAATAAAATGATAAAATATAAATAATTAAAATATTTAAATATAACTTTATTTTAATTTAAAAAATATTTATATTTATATATTTAATTATACTTTACTCTAGTTTATTATTAATGATTATTTTTTAAATAATATTAAGTATTAATTTAATTAATTAATTAATTAAAAATTAAATAAAATAAGATAAAATAAAATAATATATAATAAAAAATAAAAATAAAATACAAACTGATAAATTTTAAAATAAAATATATAATAAAATTTTAAATTATTAATTATAAATAAAATTTAAGAATCTAAATAAAATATATAGAATCTGTATAATTAAAAAAAATAATTTATAAATTTATATATAATTTGTAAAATTAAAAAAATTATAATATTATAACAAATTTTTATTATATATTTCAAATTATTTTACTTATTTTTTATTTTTAATTATAATATCTTTTGATTTAAATATATTTATACAGAAAATATTCAAAGATATAATATTTATAATTATTTAATTATTAATAAATTTAAAATTTCTTTAAATAATTTAATATATAAATAAAATATTTTTATAAATTAGAACTTGATAATAGATAAAAATAAATTAGATATATATTAAAATAATTTAGCAAATTATTTATTAATTCTTTTAAAATTATATTTAATTATATTAATTATTTATATTTAATAGTATTATTAAATATAGTTTTTTTTATATAGTTAAATTTCTGTATAATTATTATACTTGAAAAAACAAAAATAAATAATTAAAAGAGATATAATTATGATTTATTAATAATTAAAAAATAAAAAAAGAGTGATTATAATAAAATATGATTAAAAAGAGATATAATTATAAAAAATTTGATTATATAATTTATTTTTAGATAATAATCATTAAAACTTATTAAAAAATTACTTAAATAACTTAATATAATATATTTTAATTAAGATAGTTAAGATATTTTTGCAGTAGTAAATAAATAGAAATATATATATATTTGATTTATTATATATCATATTATAATTATAATAGATAACTAATTATTAGATAGATAATAAATAGATATAGATATATATATATATATTTATTTATTTATCTAATTTATTATATATTATATTATAATAATAAAGCAGAGATAAAATTTACTTATATTATATATAAAATTTATTTTATAATATTATTAAAATTATTATTCCTGAACTAAATATTTGAAAACAATATGATTTAGGAATCTGATCTGAATTAAACTTTCAGTTTGAATTCAGATTCAATTTAAATTCAAAATAATTCGAAATAATAATATTTAATCAGTTCAGATTTTGAATTAATCCAAAAATTAAATATATATAATTATATATATTAAATTCATATTTTTTGATTCACAAACTTTATAGCATTTGTAGATTTAATAACTAATCATTTTTATTATAAAAATTATTATCTATGATAATTATGAGAAAATGTATGTACAACGCCGGCTTAATTAAATCTATTGACTCGTTAAATCTTCAATTTACCACTTCATGTAAGAGGTATTTTCAAGTACTAAACGCATCATTGTCACGATATAAATATACTTTGTCTAATATACCGGTTCTAATTTTTAGCGGAAGTCGCTGCAATTCATTGTATGAATAGGTTGAAAGACTCAATTTAAAACCGGAGTTAAGAATTTTTTTGTTTCACTTTACTCATAATTTAGCAACATATTTGGTTGTCGATTGTGGTGGAGAGGCTGTAGACTTAACAGTTAGAAAATTACTATCAAACGATCGAATAGCAGAAAAAACTGAGCGATCCGGTGATTATTGTGGTAATACCTACGTTGATGACGAGTCCTGAAATTTTTGGAGAATAGAGTAGGCAAATCTGCAATGAACATGTTAAAGGAGAAACAACGCGGTCAGGTTAATTATCTAGTGCATAAAAACTTTTGTCCCGAAGTTAAGATTCCATTCGCTGGTGAAAAATCTGAATTTAAAACTATTGAATTGGACATTTGGAAAAAATGTCAAGCGCTTATGCAATATGTCTCTTCGCCGAAAAGAGAACAATTGTCAGATGATGAATGGATTATTAATTTGGATTTTGATACCGTGAATTCATTTTTTGAGCCAGTGATAGAAAAATTTTCAGATTGATTGATATGCAGTTGTCAAAATATTCGGACTGTTCGGTAAGGTTTTAGTGAGTCAAAATATCTTCAATTTAAAATTAAGGAGAGATATGAAAGTCGATTGAAAATAGCAAGTACGTTTATTAATCCTCATTTGAAAAACGCCAATAACAAATATATTTTTTATTACAGTTCCACCCAGTCCAGCAGCTGCAATTGAAAAAGGTGCGTGTGAATATATGGACTTGATATGAAAACTGTAAGCATTAGAGCATTAAAATGGCCATATGACGTTGAAACTTCTTTAAATGGTAAAGCATAGTCAACTAAATCTACACAATATACAAGGAAATAAATTATTTTTTAAATTATATGATGATCCACCTTCTCGTAAGTTGGCAAAGATCGAATTCATAAGTTCTGTTTGATGGTCAGCAAAGAAACAGAGGTGGATGTAAACAAAGAGATTAGCCATCAACATCACCAGCTAACCCAGATGATGTACGTATGATATGATCCTTTTATTATACTACCGCAAATAATGCGATATATTGTGATGAACTAGGGTGAAAAAATTGGGTAGTTTCACAATTGATTTGCCTGACGTTTATTTAGGACTTGCTCGCTCTGTTCTGGTATCATTGCGTTTCGCATCTATGGAAAATACTGTCGTAACAGCAAAGCATGAAACTAATGGTGATGTTTATCGTACAACATTCTCTAATGAGGAATAGACGAAAAATTATATCTGGGTTTATTTATAAATTAAAATTTTTATATTACGTTATTGTTAAAACATTGAAACGGGGTAGTCTCGTTTTTCGACTACATGTACTATCATCAAAATTCGATTCCATTTTCAAATAAACAATTTTTTTTACACAAATATCATCCATTAGAATTCACTCACTACTAAAAAATTTAATTAATGAATTGACAATAATGATGATGTGAATAATCATAGGCATATATACATATATATTGTTAAAATATAAAATAATAATTCATATTGGGTTACGTAGATTTACGGATTTTCGACTGTGGAGAGAGGAATTAGACTATTACTACGTGGTTAAAGTCGATTCTGGTGACGATATCTACGCATTACGTACATTACGAAAGAGAATATTTCGAGTTTTCAAAACTTTGGGTAGTGGGAATTAGGGAATTATGGTAATATAAATTGCTTAATAACTGCTTTTTCTAGACATAAGACTTAACTCTTAACGTTAATCAATTCAATGATTAACTATTACGTCTTTTTTGGGCAAGAGGACCTAACTAGCAGCGATTATTTATGATGCTTTTTCTGAATTAAAGAATCTAAACAACAAGAATTATCATAGATTTTAACAAATTGTTTTCTTGTAAGAAGGTTTGTACACAAAATATTCCTCGATTCTATTGAATTCTTTAGCTATATATATATATACACGTTTTGGGATTACATAATAAAAGGGGTTTCACATATAATCGAAGGCATTATATGATAGAGGAAAAGATAGAAATATAGAGAAGTTAGAATGATGAAGTTTGTACATAAAATCGAGGGCATTATGATCGAGGAAAAGTTAAAAAAGATAAAGAAGATGTCGTCCAGATATACTTCGAGGAATTGGTGATAATGTTCTGAAAACAAAGAATCCATCATGCATTGAAAGGAAGCAGGCACATTCGTTAATCCGAAGGGCATTACATTGAACTCGAACAGCCCTAGCTTCGTTCACATCATAAAATTACTATTCGTCACAACAATAGCGACGATAACAGCGATCACAGCTCCGCATATCGTAAATATTATATTCTGTCACTGCTGTTGTTGTGGTGATGGTGTTTGCGTTGGTGATTATAGTTGCAATTGTTGTGATAGTTGTGGCTGTTGTGTTTGATTTTGTGTTGGACAGCTCCAATCTGGAAGAAATAAATGTTGTTTTCAATATTATTATTCCTCATTGTTGGAGAAAAAGATAAGTTGGTTTTTAGATTTATTCCTTTTTATATATACTCATAATGTTTTTGTCATGTGACTCTCAAGCATGATATATGAGAATGATTATAATTTTTTAAAGGGAAATATGTAACGAAAACATTAATTTTGAAAAATAGCCTGTATCTCAAAATTTTGTCTAATAAATCACTTCTTTGCTTAATAAAAAATTTCCTTGCGAAGATTATTATTAGTCGCGCGTAAAATATATCCTCAACACCGATCTTTCATAGTAATTATTTATTTGATTTGTTTATCCCTCAAAAAACCAATTATTTGTTTACCCCCTCTGATGCAGATCAATCACCAAAAATTGAGTGTCGATCATGTGATTGTACGAATTTCGGTTATTATAATTAGAGCCAGAGTTATTTTTCATTTTTTACGTTTGATTGATTTACCACATTAAAAAGCACATGACTGCGTCCTTCATTTATTAGTAATGTTGGAACTTTTCATTTTCAGCATGTCTTGTAGCACGTTTTTCTGCACAATGGATCACGTAACTGCAGCTCTTTTCCCAATGACAGTCGATAGCATAGATCGCGTAATCTATGGTTTAGAATAAACGAACGCGAACTAGAATAATTTTTTATATTCATCCAATTTGAGTTTTTGCATTTATAAAATTATCAAAATATATATCTTAACTAGCGAATTAATAGATTTCTCATATTAGAGTTTTTCAGATAGTTTCTCACTTGAGTTTCTCTAATAATATGAATATTTATAAAATATATCAGATTGTGATTTGTATTATTCTTGTTATTACACTTGTAAGAAGGCTTATTATTGTATAAGGATGACATTATTATTTTATTAAATTATTTTTAGAATTGGACATCATTCTACAGAATAAGCATTACATGTACTCAGTTTATAATCAATTCAGAAATTTATTAAATAATCTGTTTAAACTTTTATTTTGAGATTTTGCAATATTCATTAACTATTACTTAAGTAATCAAAAGTAATTTCTTGAAATTATTAACATTTGTTCTTGACAAATATAAATTTTATTATTATTTCTTTCTTTCAAACAAGTAATTACCTTTTTTAAAACAGTTTGAACAATAAATCTTTCTGGTATCACTATTTTTGATTGCTTAACTAATTGTTCATTCTTGTTAAATATTTGACATACTTTATTTTGTGATTATTAATACAAATAGAATGTTCATTGTAATTTATACTATGACTAAAATGTAATGAGCTTTTTGCAAACAAATATTAAGAGTATGTATCATATTATAAGAGTTGTTCTTATCAATAACAGACTTATCAACTTTTCAAGTTAAGATACCATTACATTTTCCCATCATAAATATCAAGAACAGCACATAGAATTAGGGTTTCATATGAAGAAACTTGTTCTATATGATTCTCTTCTTGTATTTTACAATTATTTTCTGCTAATTTATAAATGAAGAATCAGTTAGCCAGCCTCATATTATAACTGAAAATTTATCAACAATATTTTTCAAAAGAACGTGTAGTTTCTCGAGCTCTTTCAAACACATAATTAAAAGAAATTTTACGAATATATTATTGTTTGGCAGTAGCATCATCGCTGTTCTTATAATGCTATAATATTGATAAAACTAGACAATAGCATCATCGCTGCTCTTATAATGCTATAATATTGATAAAACTAGACAAATCATATTAAAAAGTGATATACAGTCTGGTCCAAAAAAAACCGGAATTTTTTTGTTTCACAAAAAATTTTTGTAAATCATCCAATTGAAGTTCGTTTAAGATCTTCTAATACAAAAAGGGAAACCAAGACATTTGTTC